TATTCAGACGATGACCCCATCCCGTACTGTGAACCCGAGGCAGACTGCTTCAGGATCATCCCTAATGGGGTCCTTCCTGCTTGATTCTGCTTAGTCCGGGGGCGGTTGTCCCCCAAGCAGTTGGCTTCCTCTGCCAGTCCATGGGTTCTGAACTTTGGCAGGCTGCCATGCCGGCCGATTTCTGGTTTGGCCGAGTTGTGAGGCCATGCTTCAGATCGACGGGCTGATATCGGCCTGATTTCGGATTGAGGGGGCCATGTAAACGGCTCGTTTCGGTGGTACGGGGGGGGGGTACATGGCATTGGTGCTGGTGCTCTCGGCTTGTTGGATTGGTATGACGGTATCGGCACGAGCAGGTCTTCTGGGTGTCGCCAGCCGTATTCTTTCCATGCATATTCTATCGTGGCATACTGTAAAATCCTGTTCCTTTCAGTTTCTTCTGCATACCAGTACTCCAGTCCTAACGATGTGGCTTGCCAGCGCATGTCTTGCCATAAAAAGTTCCTTCCCTGCTCGTATAACTCCTGGTACTCTCTGTTCTTTGCCCTCTCTATTTCTTCTCTCAGGGCTTCCTCGTCCGTATCCTCCCCTGCTCGTTCTAGTCATCATTGATATGGGTTGTCACTGTCCTCCTTGTCCTCCTCCTCGCCCTCCTCGCCGCTGTCCCCTTCCTCAAGGAGGGAAAGGGCAGGCTGGTCGTAGATGGATGGTACGACTGGTCAAAGGGTCATCGGGGATCCCTCCGTTGACTTGGGCGCTGGATCCAGCGGCCCCTCAGTCGCTGGTTTGGGTGGTAGGGGGACTCCTGAGACGGCTGTAGCACGTCCCTCCACGCGCTCTCGTCTCCTCCAGTTCTTGGCTATAGAGGCTGAAGTGTTGTCGGAACTCAGGATTAAGGAACTGTCGAGTGACTCTGCTGCCCAGGAATCGCTGGAGAGCCCTGTCGGAGACATGGGCATTGTCGGATACTCGGAGCCCATAGGTTCCAAGGATGGAGTCAGCATCTGAGGAAATGGTATCGGTGCGAGCAGGGTACTTGGGGGTGGGAGGTTGAGGCCTCCTCGTGTTTCCTCGTCTGATAGCCTCATTCCAGCTGATAATGCTGGCGGGCCCTGTCCATGGGTCACTTTCCTCGCTGGGCTCCCTGAAGGGAGATCCGGAGTCGGTTCAGAGCTCATACTCCCTAGGGGAGGCTGAACCCATTCTTTCAACTTCCTCCCTCCTTCTTTGTGCTCTTCCCTGCCTGTCGTACTCTGCGGCCTCGTACTGCTCTCGGGCTTCTTCTCGTACATAGTCAGCGAGCTCTTCTCGAGTTCGCCTGATCTCTTCTTCTCGGTTCTGGTTCTGCTGCTGTACGGCCTCGTCATAATTGAAGGGGACGTTAAGGTCCCAATCTGGGAATATTCGGTGTATGATTCTAGCTTGTGCGGCCCTCCCTCTTTCACTGGCAGTTCCGACCTCGGGTTCACTTCCCACATGGAGGTGTCGGTAAGGGTCTCCTGCTGCAGAGATGGCAATCTCTGTGTTCACATAGTCAGGGTGAATGGTCCTTCCATGCAGGTCCTCGATCCCCAGCCTACTGATGGATCAACTGGAGTCGGAGTTGGGCTCAGTGGGGGTTTCAGGGGGGTTCTGGGGGGAGTCGGGACCTTCGTGGGATCTCGTAGCCATCCGAGCGGCATCGAGGGAGTCCCGAGCATGGTTTCCAATCCCTGTGGGAATCGGAGAGGCGGAATGCTCGGAGGGGGCGACTGGAGCGATGTAGTCAGGGACCTCTGTGGGCTCCTGAGCGACGTTCATCATCCATGGGTTCTGGAACCCTGTGAGAGCAGGGTGGCTGTCTCGGCTGTTTCATCGAGGGGGGTACTGAGGTCCTTCTTCCTCGTGAAGGCTCTCTGGATTCGAGTGGTCAGTCCTGGTTTCTGATAAGGGTCCCCCTTGCGGGAAGAAGGATGTTCTGGCAGAGGGGGGGATGTCATGGAAAGGGAGGTTGGGGGTTACGTTTCGTAAGATGCGCTGTATTTGTTGGAACGCCTGATAGTGCCTGACTATCCAGGCTGCTACTGATTGTCGTCTGCGACAGAGGGTGATCAGGGCAAGAAGTCCGAGCAATGTTCCGATAATGGAAGCAATTAACTCAAAGAAGTCGTGGTTTAGGTCAGCAGTAGTTGCTGGGGGCATTCGGTTTCTCAGCACAATTGGGCTTGAGAAAGGGAAGGTGTAAGCTTCGAGCTAATTGTTAAGCCCAAGCGTCATGTGAGCGAATACACGTGATAAACAGGCGTTCCTTCGCACTTCGAGGAATCATCTGAGTTCACTGTATGTATATCCAGACGAGGTGACTCAAGGTCAGGTATAGACTCAAGGTAGAATGGTGTGTATAAACTTTAGCTCGAAGCTGGGGTATCCCAGCGAGAGCATTCGTCCTTAAATACTGTACAGTCGTCCTCTAATTATACTACTGCTTATTATGTGTGTCTGTGGTTATGGTGCTCGTTGTCCTTGAGCATCGTTACCATACATAAAAGGGTGATTGTGTGCATCGTTGACATGACTCATAATAACTTGATGGAAGGTTAGTTGTGTTGACCAAGCTTCCCACGGTCTTGTGCCTTCTGACTCAGCGTAAATAGGGGTAAAACAAAGGAAAAAGGGGAAAAAGGGGAAAAATCGTAACATAGTCCTTCAAAAGCCTTTTGCTGGTCAGCAGCTATATAGCATTAAATAACAGATGCTAGATAGTACATGCAATTGCATCAATCTATTTGGTGCACTTTAAGCTACTAGTAGTCATTTATCTTCTCTTTGAGTAGTATTATTATGTCTGATGTCACAAGTGCAGATCATAACAGAAACTTGTGGCAAGTGGTTCATTTGCAAGAGCAATAAATCTGAAAGTTTAATCATCTAATTGAGGTGGGTGCTTGTGGATGATAGTAATTGCAAGAGCCACATATGCTTCTTTGACAATAACCACCATCTAACTACCACTTTTTAACTACCACTTTTCTTCAGCCTTTTGATCCTCCTTACACTGGGACTAACTATTTATTGTTATTAAAATGAGTTCTGATACAGATCTCTTGAAGGCAATAATAACCTTCCAGAGCAACTATGTTTGCTGAAGAAGAAAGAACTGCATTTATACAAACTCAACATAATTATTTTGATGTCATGTCTTGTTCACTGTTCTTATGCATCAAAGGAGAGCTATGAAATATATAAAGATGATTTGCATTGGTGTCAATACATTGGAGGCACTCAAGTACTAATTCTGAGGTTTGGTTGACTTCATTATATGCATCTTTTTGTTATTTTAGTCTTACAATGCAGCTGATATAGCAAGTGTCACAGATTTCAAGGACTATCTAATGTTTCTCATTATAAATTTGAGATTAAAACTAGCATCACTTTGCAACATTTATCATCCTAGTGAAAACATGTATGGATACTTAGAAGAATTCTTATATAATTATACTCTTGTGCTATATATATAAACTGTTCATTCAACTTCCTGTTCTATCACTGCTGACTATACTATCAGTGATGCAGAATACTGAATTTGAGAAACCCAAGAAGTGAGGTCATGTCTATAACAGATATACCTATCTCTCTGAATGGATTTGTATAGTCTGTTAATGATCACTTTGTCAAGATTATTACAGTATGAGAAGGGTTCTTGATCTTCTTCTATATCTGTATCTGGACACAAAGATTTACTGAAGACTCATAGATTACTTCTATACCTAACACAACTATATTATTTGAGCAGGACAATAAGAATGTCTAGATGCCATGAACTCAGCAAACTCTCTAGAGAATCTGTTTTCATCATATTAGAATTACAGAAGTTCAGATCTTGAACATTGTCTGTACAACTAGAATAAGATTGAGCAGGATAACATGAGTTTGAGCAACTAGAATATCACTTCATTTCTCTTTCAGAATAGGACAGGTGCCCATTCCATTATGCATATTCACTTTATGTCAAAGGTCCATCATTGCTCTTCATTCAATATGGTTGCTGAGGTGTCTCAGGCAGGTTTTTGATTTGAGCAAAGCAACTCAGTTATAGACATTTCATAGTTTCTAGCAGGAAATATGCATAATTTATTATAGAAAACATGTATTTACACAGTATCCATCTTCATAAACATGTTTTCTGTCCTAAAAAGCCTCAGAATAGTGAGATGTTCATATTTTTTTTGTAAGTGCTTTTATATAATAAAGCTAAGCTTAATTGGCAGGATATGCTGTGTGCTTTATGTCAGGAGTTACCTGATGAGATCAGAAACCTGATGTATCTATTAGATGACATTCATCTGCTTGCATTGAAATCAAGTCCAAGTTAAGTCTTGTGATGCTTAAGAGTAAGTATTTGTTCACTGGTTAAAGGTCAAAAGCAGAAAACTAACACATTAAAATCAATATAAGCTCCTTGTGACATTGTAACTTATTAGATAAATGTCATATTCAACTGCAAGGCTAAGTATATCAGTAAGTGAACAAATATCAAGATTGGGTTCAAAGACACAATGGCCTCAGACTATAAGTGTATGAGCATATCTGGTCCATATACTGTCAAAACAGTCCCTTGGAATCTAAATCAGACTATCATATGTATGAAAGAGATACAGAACATCATTCCAGAAAGAAGATTCAAGGCATTGGTTGAAGTCTACATTCGCTTCAAGCATTTTGTCTCCAAGTATACTCTTTTTGATGGAATGATCATGATCAACCTAAACTATGGAACTGGGGGTGCACATTTGATTTTAGTGATAAGAGTTATCATGAGGCAAAATGTCACATCACCAAATCTACCCAATGACCACCACAAAAGAAGCAGCTATCAGAGAGCTTGACGGCGCTGACTATGATTACGGTTGCCGAGCTGTCTCACACAAGTTTTCGATTACTGCTATATCAGAGAAAGTACTAAAAATAGATCTATAATCCGAAAACGGAGCCTTGGCTTAGAGCTCGGCAACCGCAACCGACTGTCATCTCCTGGGCTGCAGAGTCTGAGACAAAGGCTGTTAGTTGCCATCTTTTGCTGGTAAGTACAACAGTCATGCTTAGTACAACACGTTCGTCTGTGCACTCCATTTTCGACGTCTTCGGCCGCATTTCATCTTACGTGACACTAAACCCGATCCGCCGTGATCGTCTCTCTGACGAGCTACCCACCCAAATCCGGGTTTCATCTGCAAACATGTGTCTTAATCACGGCGTAAATTGGAGAAAACGGCTAGACTCTTTCCTTCCAGTACCTATTCATTGTAGCATTTTGGATTTATAAAGAGCATGTAACTGCTTGCTCTCCATCCCCCCATGTTTTCTCCCAAACTTTTGGGGGTGCTTCTTCCTGTGATATGCTCGGCTGCGATATATGAGAGCGCAGCGGACCTCCCGATCCTCGATTTTGACTATATCATCGTGGGAGGTACGCGTAGTGCTCATACCATCTCTCACTGTCTAATTTATGGAAAGGCGGCACAGCAGGAAATGTTCTTGCTAATCGATTGACTGAGCAGGAAAATACATCAGTGCTCGTCCTTGAAGCAGGGCAATCGTGCGTCGCTGACTCTCTTCCCATCCACATTCCTGAAATCCTCTCATCTATATTATATAGGACTGCTGACGTCCTAGTCTCACAAGTTCCCTTCTTCTGCCCGCAAGCAACGCCCAACACGCCCCTCGACTGGAACTTCACCACGACGCCTCAGCCGGGGTTCAATGGACGAGCCATTCCGTACCCGAGGGGGTTCGGGCTAGGAGGGAGCAGTGCCGTTAGTAGGTGTCAAACAGTTACGCATTCTTCGTTGTTCATGATCGCGAGCGTAGATTATATGACTTACACCCGTGGATCGTCAGAGGACTACGATCGGTATGCGCATGTCACCGGGGACGAGGGATGGGGGTGGGATGAGCTGCAGCCCTACATTCGAAAGGTTGTATTGAACTCGCAAGACTCTGAAGGCCTCTTCTGACTGACCGGCTGTAGAACGAGCGATTCGTCCCTCCCGCTGATCATCACAATACAACAGGCGAGTTCAACCCCGCGGTGCATAGTTTCGACGGTGTCAATTCCGTGTCTCTCCCCGGATACCCCCGTACGATCGATGGACGCGTCATTCAAGCTACGCAGGAGCTGCCGGATGAGTTTCCGTTCAATTTGGATTATAATTCAGGGTATCCATTGGGTATTGGTGAGCCCTATGTTTTAGGTGAACGTCATTTTGCCTGATATGTGATTGTAAGGATGGGAGCAAACAACTACTGGGAATGGAACGAGGAGCAGTTCGGAGACTTCGTACCTTGGTCCTGAATATATCAGCAGGAAGAATTTGCACGTTCTTATTCATACATATGTAACGCGGATTCTAGCGGCGAACGAATCGACTCTTGGCGATGAGCCACTGTTCGACACTGTGGAGTTCACACAGGATGCTGGAGGTAAGAGCCACTGATATCCTATGATTGTCAGGGTGAGGTAATGATCTCCTTGATCCCAGCGACGATCCACACCCTTTCTCCTCTCAAGGAAATCATTCTCTCAGCTGGATCAGTTGGAACACCCCACATCCTGCTCAACTCTGGCATCGGAGACGCTGACGAACTCACCGCGGTGGGCGTTACGCCTTCCGTGCATCTCCCTGACGTTGGAAAGAACCTCACTGACCACCCTCAATGGGGTGTTGCCTGGTTCGTCAATGATACAAACACGATCGAGGATGTCTATTGGCGGAATGCCACATTTCAAGCCGAGGCACTGGCGGAGTGGCAAGCTAATCGGACGGGCTACATCGCAAGCACAAGTTCTAATCACTTGGGATTTTTCAGGGTGGAAGAGGGGGTATTGGAAGAGGAGCCATGTGCAGGAGAGAAGACGGGGCAATACGAGTTGATTTTTTCGGTAGGTCTGTGGTTCCTTCCATGGGTTTCATGTCCTGATTGTATACCATTAGGGTGGGATTGGTTCCGGCACCATCCCAGCAACGGGGAGCTATCTCAGGATAGGTGTAATAGTAATCTGCCCGCTCTCTCGTATGTCCATCTCCTCCTTCCCTTTCTTTCCTTTCCGACTTTTTTTCCAGGCGGGAATATCACTATCAACGGCACCGACCCCCTCTCACCCCCACTTATCAACCCCAACTTCTTTTCACACCCACAGGATATGACCATCATGCAGCACGCCATCGCTGGTGCGCAACAATTCCTCACTGCGCCCGTGTGGGATGACTACGTCCTTGGGATATCGACGAATATTACTGATCTGGAGGAAAGCATACGGAATGGGGCGGGGACGACTTATCATCCTGTTAGTACGGCAAGTATGTCTGCGTGCGATGCGGACTGGGGAGTCGTAAACCCAGATTTGAAACTCAAGAAGGTGGCAGGTGTGAGGGTTGTTGATGCGTCTGTTTTGGTGAGTTGAGGCTGGTTTTGTGGGACCGATACTGATTTATTGTCTTCGCAGCCGTACATACCAGCGGGGCATTCTCAGGCGGCTGTGTATGCTGTTGCAGAGAGGGCGGCGGATTTGATCAAAGAGTCGCGTTGACGCCAAATGAAATTTTTACTTGTCCTAAGATATACTTTTCAATAATGTCGACAGCCAACAAGAGGTCACTCCTTCTCCTTCTTTCCCGAAGATTTTGGATGCATATGGCCCACGAAGAGGCACAAAGTCGAAGCCGGACAAGTGCCAGGAGATCTTTGATTGGCTCTTCTCGATTGGTGATCAGAATTACTCATGCAAGGAGAAGAAGGTTATGTACCTAGATTATAACACTCGAAATCTGAGTCCAAGACTAAGTGTTAGCTCATCAAGATCATTCGACAATGGGTCAGAAATGTTTGACAGCTTGGTATCGAAAGCGCTTGCAGGACTGGGCATATGCATTCCCAAACGATGGTCCTTATTGTTGGCAGATATCCGTGCGTATACCTATATCTTACCTTTTCGATCGTCACCCGCTCTCTTTTGATTATCACTTATTCCTACTTACCATATATACACACCTCCTGTCGTTACCCAATCACCTATATAGCCTGGCCATAGATACCCATATACTTCAGTCAACCTATGCTGTGCCTGACTGAGGTATGTATACTGTTATCATGTCCTTTACTATACTACTCACCATCATTCATAGACTCTTACTCATATTCTTCTGACAATACTTATACCTTCTCAAAATGTGATACTGATTCAGTTATCACCATGTTTTGTAGAGCACGTGATTCATGCTGGAGTAGAAATTTGTGAAAATAATAGTACCAGAAATAAATGTTATTTGCAAGAATGGCTGGTGTCAATAATTAGAATTGGCATTAGAATTATCTTCCTCTGACTCTATCTCCTCACTCTCATCCTGCTCCTTGCCCGCAAGCTGCCGGGAACGTACGGAACTCTTCCTCCGCCTCGTAGTTCGACGAGGAAGAGCAGCAGGAGATGTATCCTCCTTATCATCACCATCAGGCTTCGATGATGGCTTCTTATTGCCTGCTGATGTCGAATTCTTCTTTCCCGTATTCTTCGACTTCGACTGCCATTAAGACAGCTTCTTCTGCATATCCCTCACAAACGCATGGTCATACCCCATACAATCCATTCGCACGATGTTGATATGCTGTGTCTAGAATCAGTAATTATATCTTTGAAGACGGGAAGCATGCCCATTACCTCACCGCCATTGCAAAACGCCTCGATCACATCCTTAGCAGTAACGGCTAATGGCACACGAGTCTTGATCTTTTCCCTCTCCTTTTGCTTTGTTTGCATCAGGCTATGAGTTTCTGCTTAAATTGCATGGAGCTGCCTCCGTAAATGTTTACTACTAAAACACTGAGAATCCAGTTGGCGGAGACGGGGTAATTGTGTACCATTTGGCACCCTTAAGATGGGTAGATTTGATCTGTGCAAGGTAGTTGTCCTTCATGTAGATGTCAGGGAAAGCCTTCAAAGGGACGCTTCAAACGTACATTCAACGGCCGCCGTACCGCTTTCATCTTCCCTCTAGCAACCTCAGATAGGTGCGAGCTGCTTGCTGGTACCGATGCCTGTTAGTATGTCATCAGAACGGGTTATTAGAACCCAATAAGCACATACGATTTTAGGCTTCTCCGATCTAGATCCATCGTTAAGTAAACCATCATCAGCATTCTGCAGATCACTTGGATCGAACTCGTCCTATGCCAAGTCAATTAGTAAGGGAGAAGTGAATAGTTTTTGCCGTTAACCTCACTCCTGAAGGCTGCTTCTTCTTGGGTACTTGTCTTCATTGGTTCCGAAGAGACGATGTAATCTCTTTGGGGCTCAGTCGCATGGATCTCTAGTTCTGTCGCTTCCTGAAAACGTTTTCAGTAACTCCCTAGCTACCTGAATTGAGGATTCTTTACCTGGTCTTCCTCAGTTTGACCTCGCTCTAGCTTCATTTTGACTCTTATGTGCCGTTACTGCCGACGCTCGTCTCAGTACCGCCATACTTTTATTCTCTCTACGCAAGGCATCATTGTCTCTTTCCACACCGACTTTTCTCCGCAGCTTTTTCAGAGTCACTAAATGCTGGGTCCTGGATTTGTCCCTTTCATGTTTGAGATCCTCAGTTGGTGCTTCAGCATCAGAGGGAGCAGCTGTATCTCCTTCGGAAGGCAGCATTTTGTAGGGTTTTCAGATTGGGTGGCAAGACAAGGTTATGATGGTGGTGACATAGGATACACGGATCGTTGGCGCATGTGGCTTTCGAATTTTCTCTCACAACCACCCACAAACGACCGTGCCACCCCCTGTCTGCCTTATCACCGTTGGAAATCGCCCAAATTCTGAGACAAATACAGGTTTTCAACTATTCGATGTCTGCTTGCTGCCATAGCTTTATCTCTGGACAACCTACCAGTATCTTTATCAATTTCAACCTAATTCAAGAAATTAGGGCACGGATATTAGTAAATACAGTGACGTCGACCTCGTCATCAAGATTTACATTGGTACACATTGAAAAAATTCTAGATCTACTCGGATTCGTGAATTTGTACTACTTACCTACCTACCGCCGTGTGTAGATCTTTTGCCTTCATTGTTCGGCCTCTTTTATCAAGTCAGCCGCCCTCTCCGCAAAAGCATAGACTGCCGCTTGGGTATGTGCAGCAGGAATAAAAGGCTATATAATCAAACCGAAAGGAATTAATTAAATGACTGACGGGGGTGCGGGGAAAGACTCACCAAGACAGATGCATCCACGATCCTCACCCCTACAGCCCGCTTGAGTCTCAAATCTGGGTCCACAACTCCCCAATCTGCCCCGACTGGGGACATACTCGCCGTGCCAACAGGATGATCCGTCGGTACGGCTATATCTCTAATAGTCCCCTCCAAATCCGTGATATTGGTGGTGAGCGCAATGATGTAGTCCTCCCATACCGGTGCTGCGACGAATCTCTGCGCACGCTCTACGGCATGTTGCAGTATCTCCATATCCTGAGGGTGCGAAAGATAGTTGGGGTTGATGAGAGGCGAGTCGAGGGGATTGGTACCGCTGATGGTAATATTTCCGCCTACCAGTCGAATGTTAAAGTAAGGGAATTGAAAGAGAAAGAGGACGCACGTGAAAGTGGGCATAACGCAACAACAGCTATGGTAAGATAGCTGCCAGTTGCTGGAATGGCCTCTCCGAAAATACCTCCCTGAGAGTTTGTACGCATTTAGTGACTTGTGTACGCGTCCATGATGTCCTCGACTTACGGAGAAGATCAACTCGTAATGTGCTGTCTGGTTACCAGCACAAGGCTCGTCTTTTAAAACACGTTCCCCAAGACGAAGGTATCCTAGATGGTTCAACGCGATGTTCGCAATATACCCGGTCCGATTGGCTTGCCACTCCCCAAGAGCTTCCGCTTGGAACGTCTCGTTCCTCCAATACACGTCCTCTGTTGTGTTGGTGGCATTGACAGTCCAGAAAAGACTCAAACTCGGGTGGTCCGTTAAATTTTTCCCGACATCGGGTAGATGAACCGTCGAGTTTATGCCCATTGCGGCGAGCTCGGCGTCATCGCCAACGCCAGAGTTGAGTAGGATATGGGGCGTCCCTATGGTACCAGCTGAAAGTATTATTTCCCTGAGGCTGGGAGGCGAAAGGACGTGAATGGTTTCTGCAAACATAACATTCTTAACCTAAAAAGACGCAACACAGGACCAGCTCCGTACCTCCCGCGTCCTGGGTGAACTCGACTGTACCAAAGCGCGGGTGATCGTTCGAATCTGAGCTATTCACTTGAAGAATCCGCGTGACATAAGAATTCACGAGTACATGCAAGTTCTCGCGCCCAATATATTCAGGACCAAGATACGATGTCTCCGAGCTGCTCCTTGTCCCGTTCCCTACAGTCGTTTGTTCCCATCCTGTCATTCATCAACCAAACCGGTCTACAGCTCCAATGGCGCACTCACCGATGCCTAAATGATACCCTGAATTGAAATCCAGGTTGAACGGGAACTCGTCTGGAAACTCCTTAGTGGTTTGGATAACCCGGCCATCGATAGCTCGGGGATATCCAGGGAGTGTGACCGAGTTTATACCATTGAAACTGTGTACTGCTGGATTATATTCACCAGTGATATTGTGATGATCCGCAGGCGCTACAAAGCGCTCGTTCTAGACCAATTCAAGGTCATTTTCTTTCCGGACTTTGATGATAGTGAATGAACCTTCCGAATATACTGTTGCATTTCGTCCCATCCCCACCCGAGATCACCGCTGATGCTTGCATATCGATCGTAGTCCTCAGACGAACCGCGAGTGTATGCCATAAAATCTAGTTAACATTGAAAATCGGAGATCATGATAAAGCGATTCAGTCGAACTCACTGATTGCGCTAGTCCCGCCCAAACCAAAACCCCTTGGGAACGGAAGAGCCCGTCCATTCAGGCCAGGCTGGGACGTCGTGGTGAAGTTCCAGTCCAAAGGCGTATTGAGCGTGAGCGTGCAAAAGAATGGCACTTGCGTAACCAGGATGTCCGCAGTCCTGGGTCGACGGTAAGCTCGAATCAAAGAGAAGATAGGTACACCTACGACTGCCCTGCTTCGAGGACTAGCACGGATGTATCCGGTTCTTCGGTCAAACGGTTGGCGAGGACATTTCCTGCAGTGCCGCCTCAGAGGGAGTCAGTGATGACGGAGAGAGACACTAGAGCCGCGTGTACCTCCAACGATGATATAGTCGAAGTCTAGAGTGGGAAGGTCTGTGACCTTGTCATATACCGCGGCTGAGCATAAAGCAGGTAGGAGAAGAAGAAAGGGCGAAAGCATTATGTGGGGTGGGGAAATACCTCCGTGTATGTGTAACTTAAGAATGAATAGATGGCCTAGAGGATGATATTGAGAAAGGCGGTCTTGAACGGGCATCAGGATGTCAAGTGCCAAAAGAGACAAGACAAGAGTAGAGAGATCCTTCCCACGAGTGGTATGCCATTCCAGAGTAGATGAAACCTCGATATCGGCTGGATATCTTATTGGAGGGACACCACTAGGATGCAGGGGAATGATGATCTAGAAGGTCTGATACAACCATAGAGCGAAGGGTTCTTTTGACCACGGAAAGACGACAGGACCGTGCAAAAGGCGAGGGTGAAGAATATTTCTGCTGCCTCCGATAGACTGGTCCTCTTTTCATGACCGTATATCGCCGTCTAACGAACTGATATCGGGCACTGTCATGTACCGGCCATCGAATCTATCAAAAATTGCAATAACATCATAGTCGAAGCTTTGACCATCTAGTCGTTTCAAAGGACAGCTGAAATGAAAAGTAATCCATCATGCCGGGTGTACACTTAGTCTACAGCACCAGCGCTGAGGTCTGAGGCCTCAGGCCTGAATATCTATTTAATTGTATCCTGGGATCAATTGCATAGTGAGAAAAGGACTAAAGCAAATACGATATAATTACCGTTTGCTATCGTAAGTATCCTTGCCTCTCGGTCCCTAACTGGCGAGACTCGCACAAGAATTCGATAGAAATCACGCATCATTTCCGAGGTTACTGCGAAGTGTGCCATTACCTCGCCGATTTCTCAGCTAATTGATGCACCCAAGTGCAGCGTGGTCGAAGCACCACGGTCGTCTCGGAGATCCGCAGTCAGAAAATGAGGGATGAAGAGTGAAACAATGATAAAATGATCTTGTAATAAGGCCGTGGAGAAAACCTGCTAAGGCTTTTTTGTAGAATCGGTCAATACCGCAGCCCTCAGAGCTACTGAGTGGAGTGAATGATCAAGTTCAGATTAAGACTCGCACGGCAGTTCGCGGCAACAGTAGTGCACGTGATGGGCCATGTGGTTCTGGCCTCTGGGTAAACCAGGTCCTGGGTTGCGTCACCGCGCAAGTTCGATCCCCCGTCAAACCAATGGGAGGTTTAGTGGGTATTACAAAGTGTTGAGCCCCACACTGTTCGGCAGAGGTGCCGTTCGTGCGTAAAAATCCATTCCTACCTGGTCCGTTCCCCGGGCTTAAATTCTTGGAGACCCCTTTGGCTGCACGTTGGAAGCGACTGTGTCGCTAGACCGCCTCTGCAATAGCCCCCACCAAGAAAAAAAAAAAGGTAGTGCACGTGGCTTGGGAGTTGGAAATTATCACCCACTGACACTGACGCCCACAACGAAACTGCCCTAGGCGCCCCGGTTGAACCGTTTCCACCCTGTCCGTTAGTTTCAATTCAATCTGACTCCCGGCCAAGTATCGTGCATCAGTGATTCATAACGCATCACAGCCATGATCACGCACTAGTAGACACGAAGGCAGCTTTACGTTGTAACATTCACGCTAAGCTGTCATAAGGTCCAAGACTCAGAGCATCAAATCTCACTCTTCACAATCTGGACGATCCTGCCTTCACAAATATGCTCTCCAGTACTACTAGTGGTATCCATCGGATGGTGGATCCCGCTATTCGGTACATGTTCACAAACCAATACACACGGTTAACGTGCCACCAAGGGAACTTGCGTCACTTTTAATTAACTCAGAAAAAGATATCATAAGCTTTACTTGCGAAGCAGCTGCCATCTAAGCGAATTCCCTTCCTTTGATCAAATCCGCTGCCCTTTCCGCAACTGCATACACCGCTGCTTGAGGGTGCCCAGCTGGTATGTACGGCTAAAAGTCACATATTAACACCCCAGAAACACCACGAACAAAACGAAAAACCCACCAAAACCGACGCATCTACAACCCTCACCCCCGTCGCCAGCTTGAGCCTCAAATCCGGGTCGACGACTCCCCAATGTGCATTATGCGGGGACATACTCGCGGTACCGACCGTGTGTCCTGTGGGCCTTGCCTGATCCCGAATGCTCCCTTCCAAATCGTCGATATCCGTAGAGAGCTCGAGGATGTAGTCCGTCCATACCGGCGCCGCGGCAAACCTCTGTGCACCTCCAATGGCGTACTTCATCTGTACCATGTCTTGTACATGCGAGAAGACATTAGGGTTAATGATCGGTGGGGAGAGGGGATTGGCGTCATTAATGGTGATATTCCCATCTAAGTTAGATCAGCAGGATGTAAGTAGAGAAAACGAGGATGGCATACGAGACAGCGGGCACAGGATGTTAATCAACGCCGTAAAATAGCTCCCACTTGTTGGAACAATGCGACTCTCCAGCCCACCCTGATTTATCATCAGTAGGCATGGCGACGATGGTTAAATAAAAGGCAAGCCTACACCGAATATCAACTCATAATGTCCTGTCTGACTGCCGGCGCAGGTTTCTTCCTCCATCACATCATTTGAGATGCGCAAAAATCCCAATTGGTTAGAGGGAGGGTTAGCGAGAAAGCCTGTTCGATTCACCTGCCACTGCGCCAATGTCTCCTCACGGAAAGTCTCGTTGCTCCAATACAAGGTCTCTGCCATCTGTGCATCATTTACAGTCCAAGAGAGACTCATACTCACTTGATCCCTCAGGTTCTTACCAACATCGGGAAGATGCACCGTCGGAGTGATGCCTAGTGCAGACAGCTCATCCGCATCCCCTATGCCCGAGTTGAGCAGAATATGAGGAGTCTCGATGACTCCAGCAGAGAGGATGATCTCCTTCCGAGCTGAAAGAGTATGCATTGTTTCTGGGACTTGTATCAGCTGAGTCTAACACTGGAAATAGAGAACATGCATACTTCCGGCATCCTGTGTGAATTCCACAGCATCAAAATATGGTTTGTCGTCATCAGTCGAGCCGTTTGTCATTAAAATCCGGGTCACATGCGAATCCACAAGCACATGGAGATTCTCTCTTTCGATGTACTCGGGAGCGAGATACGACGTCTCCGAGCTACTTCTTGTCCCATTCCCTATAGTCTTCTGGTGCCAGCCTTTCATGCGGGTCAGTTTGAGCACAGCATACTACTCTTCACTCACCGATACCCAAATGATACCCAGAATTATAGTCCAGATTGAACGGAAACTCTTCCGAGAGCTCTTCAGTGACTTGGATGACACGTCCATCGACATTGCTCGGGTATTCAGCCAATGACACATAATTAAGTCCGTGGAAGCCGTGTACCTCGGGGTCAAACTGGCCAGTGGTATTGTGGCGATCCGCGGAGGCGACGAAGCGTTCGTTCTACATCCAGAAATGAATCAGATAGGTTGGTGAGTGGAGTGAGATGTACACCACCTTTCGAAAGTAGGGCTGCATCTTAGTCCACCCCCACCCATCGTCCCCACTGACGTTCGCATATCGATCATAGTCTTCGGACGAGCCCCGTGTGTATGTCATAACGTCTACAAAACGACACTAACCGTGAGTACAAGCAAATGAGAAAACATTCTCTCGACTTACTAGTAGCGCTGCACCCGCCCAATCCAAACCCCCTGTCATAGCCAAACTCCCGGTTGTTCAAGCCCGGTTGGGGAGTAGTGGTGAAGTTCCAGTTCAGCAAGGGCAACCCCGAGAAGCAGAAGAAGGGTATTTGTGAACTCAAGACGCCCGCTGTTCTATGTCGTGGTAAAGGAATGTACTGAAAGAGGAAAAGAAGACATACGATCTCCCCGCTTCGAGAACGAGCACGGACGTATTGGTCTCTTCGGTCAAACGATTGGCAAGGACGTTGCCTGCGGTACCGCCTTGGAGAGGTGGGCATCAGCGAAAGCGAGCTTGTGACATGCTCCGAGATGACATGCACCTCCTACAATAATATACTCAAAGAATAGAGCAGGAAGATCTGCGGCTCTTTCGTATATCGCAGCTGAGCATAGAGGAAGAAACAGTAAGAGGAATGAGAACATTATGGAGGCAATGGCAGAGTGCTATGCATGTGGGTTTATAGGGATGAATAGTGTGCCTTGAACACGATGGTGTCACTAAAACACCGTAAGAGGGATAAATGACCGAGGCGTGACACGCCATAAATCGCGATTGAGGCCAGGAATAATAACATGTCCAACTCGGGCATTGTGTGGATATCACGTAGACATTGACATGGATCGGTCTGTAGAACCAGGCAAACAAGTTTCCTGTCTAAAGAACCAAGACGGCGTGAGCATTATACGTGCCTAGAAGTATCGAGATTAGAATTGACAGCCTTTCTGTGAACAAGACCACTCACTTCTCTCACGTCACCGGCCATGATGTGTAGCAGTAGTCATATTGCAAAGAGAACGGCCATCTCAATGGTTAGCGCAGGCCAGGAGATATCTAGTCAGGAACGGGGCCGTAGGCACCAGGCTGTAACAAAAGACCCCAGGTGCGCCCGGTTGCGAAGTCATCACTGTCAGACGCAGGAGACGACCACCACTTTCCTGGAAAGCCAAGCAGACAAAATTGGCTTATCAGCAGAAACAGGACTCGGATATCAAAAGCCTCGTTCTACTTCAGCGGGAAATTGTACGTCGAAAGATGGGCATTTACCAAGGTTTGCCTAGAGAAATACTCAGCTATGTACATCGACCGATGGCAAGGAAGCTCTGACTGGTAGCCAAGTGATGTTTTACTTTGGATGTATAAACGTATCCAATAGCTTGGAGAAGCTCGGCCTCGAGTTGGCAAATTATCGGGTGGCTTCACATGACACCAGTGTCATTGAGGCCGGTAGCAGACTGTGAAGATGCCAAACTTGCGCTCCAGGTTTTTGACCAGCTTCCGGATCCGTTCCCTTCTTTGTGCTGCTTTCCAAAATTGAAGAGCCTGAGAATAACACTTGACACCAACAAAAGGGCCTAACTCCGATGCCTTCTTTTCGTCCCTCTCTTCCTTTTTCGTCTTTTCTTCCTGACGACTCACTCAATATTGGCCTCCTTTTGTAGTCCTTTAGTTCATTTCTTTCCGCTTCCCGAAACGTAGTCTTCATATCTTTGGCTAGACCGATTTGGCCAATAATCAGGGCGAAGCGATCACCGCCAAATATAGTGATAAATACCTCTTCTGAGTAGAAGTAGCCTCCTCCTGGAGCACTCTCCTTCGCACCGAACTCGTTGTACTCCTTCCACAACTGAAAAAAAACTTGAGGCAAGTCAGAGTATGATTTAAACAAGATGGCGTACTTGATCGTCAGAAAGGGTTTGATACCAATATTAATTTCTTTGAAACCCTCTTTGTCATTAGGATCGTAGCAAGAGTCCTGGAAGAAAGCAGACGTGTTAAACGCGTTAAAAGTAATTCTGCCGATGAAGGATAAACCTTCTTTATATCATCCGTCGTAACAGTCACCGCGACGCCGAATATATCGGGTACTTAAGTGGGGTAGAATGCATGAGATAGTATCATTCGACGGATCTGTAGAAGGATTCGAGGCCGGGGCTGCAGTGTAGGTACAGTAAATTCGAGATGTGCGCCGTACTCCTAGCAGTTCATTTTGGATGTAGGGCAATACGAGCATAAAAGGAAGCGACATCGCAGGAGGAATTGCTGTGTGGCTGTGTCACTACCTTTGCGGGTATTGCCGACTACCTGCAAACTTGTGAAGTCACTGCAGCATTTTTCCAACTGTTTTTCTTATCACTGTTAAATTTTTTTCAGGTTTCTGAAAAGTTGTCTCTCAAAAATCACCTGGAGTTGAAATGTCTTTAACTCAGACTACTTTCTCCAGCAGGCAGACACAAAACCAAGAGAACCATGGTACTAAAAGTAATCATAAGCAGTGATGTGAGTGGCAGCATGATAATTCATTGATGAGCGAACAGTACTAGTACTGGTGAATGCTCCTTATACCTTCTTGTATGATTTTCCATGGGTTAGTATGAGAGGGACAAAGTGTGGATGAATGTGGCTCTAATTGAAAACATGGTACAAAGTTGCAAGTGATCATAGTAATAGAGCCAATTCTAAGCCAGATACTTTGTAGGTGTGCAAGCAGGAATGTATGCCTCAAACGAACCCACATATTGTGAAGGCTGGCTGCACTACTCTGGGATCAGCACTGAAAAAAAGGATCACAATTGACTTGATATTCCAAAGACTGGAATTGAACCCAAAGCTTCTTACATCATGCACTATTCATGAGAGACATGATGCTAGCTATTATTGTTGTGAGACAATACAAGTACCTGATGTCAACCTTATATAAGCATAGACAGTTTTGTCCTGAGTCAATGGTCAATTACCTTTAAGCAATTGACCATCATACTCAGGTAAGTAGTAGTTATATATACCTCAGCCTTTAAGCAATTGACTGTCATACTCAGTCTGGCCTATTATCCACTGTGAGAAAGTAACCTGCCTGCAACAGGTTATGAGCCTTATGCTTTAAGGCCTACTTCATTTTTTTTTCTTTATATCTTGCTTGTGCCCTGCTATCTCTTTATCAGTTATTTTACTACTGAAACAATATCACCACATACATCATGCCATCCTTTGACACAATCAAGAAAGGCTTCAACAACCTAAATGCCTTCAATTATAGTGAGTGGGAAGAAAACATGTTGGCCCTACTCAAAACTCACTGTGAGTATCTTATCACTATTGGCCATGATCCTGAACCAGAGTTTGCAGACTCCAAGAAGCCAATATACCAGAAGAAGAAGGACTGGAAGGACTGGAAGGAGACTCAGGTATCAGCTGCTGGCACAATCTACCTCTGCCTTGATGAATCCCAGAAGACTCATGTCAAAAGCTGTCTTGATGATCCAGAGAGGATGTGAGACACATTAAAGGCACACCATCAGCAAAGAAAACTGGTGACTCAATTTGTAGCCTATGACAGCTTCTTCAATCTCAAGAAGGAGACAGAAGAATCACTTCCAGACCTTGCCAGTCAGGACACTCAAATCATGAGTTGTATCCATGCTCTGTGTCCTGCTCATTTTGGCCTCCAGCAGTTAGAAGAAGAGCTTCTTGTTATGGCTCTGATTTATGCACTCTCTCAGCCTGAATTTGGAAACTTTGTCACATCACTACTCCTTTTCTCTGATAAACTCACTCTCAAAGGACTCTGCACTGCATTTTACAATGAAGAAAACAATCAGAAGCTATGTGCTGGTAATCCAGCAGTCTCTGTCACTCTCAAAGCCACATCTTTCCATTCAGCCACAAATCTGGCTATCAATGCTACTGCAAAATGTGGATGATGCCTTCATGAGAATCATGCAGAAGAAGAATGTATAACCAAGAAGCTTTCACTTAAATGGGACCATGAACATGCTGCTGACCATACTGCCAGAATGCATCATTACAAGAGGGCTGAAAAGAAGGATTCAGAAGCTGCTAACTCTGCCAAGACAAAGAAGAAGACTGTTATGATTTTCCTATTTTTCCTCTTTTTCTTATTGTCTTTATCCCTATTCACGCTTAGTCAGAATGGGCATGAGATGGTGTGAAAGCTTAGTCAGCACAACTAGCTTGATCACCAAGTCATCGTGACAGCCAAGTCTAATGACAACACAATCGCCCTTTTATGTACAGTTTCGATGCTCAAGGACAACAGGCACCATGGACACAGACAGACATAATAAGTAGTGATATAATTAGGACTACCTGTATAGTATTTAAGGACTGATGCTCTTGCTGGAGAACCCCAGCTTCGAGCTAAAGTTTATACACACCTTTCTATCTTGAGTCTATATCTGACCTTGGGTCACACCTCACAGATATACAAAGAAGTGAACTCAGGTGATTCCTCGAAGTGCAAAGGAACATCTGTTTATCATGTGTATCTGTCTACGTGACAACTGGGCCTAACAATTAGCTCAAAGCTTTCACCTTCTCTTTCTCAAGCCTAATTGTGCTGAGAAACCGAATGCCTTCAGCAACAACCGCCGACCTAAATCACGACTTCTTTGAGCTTATCACTTTCATCATAGGAACCTTGCTCGGACTTCTAGCCATCATCACCCTCTGCCGAGGACGACAATCAGTAACAGCTTGGATAGTCAGGCACTACCAAGCGTTCCAGCAGATTCAACAAATTCTACGCAATGTAACCCCCGACTTTCCTTTCTATGACATCCCTCCTTCCGCCAGAACATCCTTCTTCCCACAAGGGGGACCCTTATCAGAAACTGGGAATAACAACTTGAATTCGGGGAGCCTTCACGAGGAAGAAGGACCCCAACACCCCCCTTGATGAAACAGCTGAAACCACCACCCTGCTCTCACAGGGTTCCAGAACCTGTGGACAATGAATGTCATTCAGAAGCCCGCAGAGATCCCTGACCACATCGCTCCAATCGCCTCCCCCGAGCATTCTGCCTCCCCAATTCCCTCAGGAATTAGAAACCATGCTTGGGACTCCCTTGATGCCGCTCGGATGGCTGCGAGACCCCACGAAAGTCCCAACTCTCCCCAGAACCCCCCTAAGACCCCCACCGAGCCCAACTCCGGCTCCAGCCAGTCCGTCAGTAGGCTGGGGATCGATGACCCACATGGAAGGACCATCCACCCCGACTATGCGAACGTAGAAATTGCCATCTCTGTGGCAGGGGATCCCTACTGATACCTCCATGTGGGTAGCGAACCCGAGGTTGGAACAGCCAGTGAAAGAGAGAGAGCTGTGCGAGACAGAATCATACACCAAATATTCCCAGACTGGGATCTTACCGTTCCCTTCAATTATGATGAGGCGGTACAGCAGCAGCAGCAGAACCAGAACCGAGAAGAAGAGATTAGGTGGACTCAGGAAGAGCTCGCCAACTATGTATGAGAAGAGGCCTGAGAGCAGTACGAGGCCGCAGAGTACGACAGGCAAGGGAGAGCACGAAGGAGAAGGGAGGAAGCCAAGAGACTGGGGTCAGCTTCCCCCAGTGGGTACAGGCTCTGCACCGACTCAGGATCACCCTTCAGAGAACCCAACTCAGAAGACGACCCATGGACAGGACCTGCCAGCATTGTCAGCTGGAATGAGGCCATCAGACGAGGAAGAGCAGAGGAACCTCGACCTCCCACCCCCGAATATCCTGCCCGCACCGATACTATCTCCTCAGATGCCGACTCTATCCTCGGGGCCTACAGGCTCCAAGTACCCGACAATGCCCACATCTCTGACAGGGCTCTCCAGCGATTCTTGGGCAGCAGAGTCGCTCGACAGTTCCTTAATCTCGAGTTCCAATGACACTTCAGCCTCTATAGCTGAGAACTGGAGGAGATGAGAGTGCATGGCGGGACGCGATACAGCCGCCTCAGGAGCCCTCCCATTGCTCGGACCAGCGATCAAGGGGACGCCGGACCCAGCACTCAAGTCAATGGAAGGGTCCCCAATGACCCTTTGACCAGTCGTGCTGCCCATCTATGACCAGCCTGTCCATTCTCTCCCCGAGGAAGGGGACAGCGGGGATGAGAGCGATGAGGAGGACGACAAGGACAGTGATGACCTATACCTACAACAGATGGAGCGAGCAGGGGAGGACACCGATGAAGAAGCCTTAAGGGAAGAAGTGGAAAGGACAAGGAATAAGGAGTACTAGGAGCTGTATGAGCAGGGGAGGAACTTTTTATGGCAAGACATGTGCTGGCAAGCGACGTCACTAGGACTGGAATATTGGTATGCGGAAGAAACTGAAAAAAGAAGAATTTTGCAGTATGCCGCGACAGAATATGCATGGAAGGAATATGGCTTGCGGCATCCAGAGGACCCACTCGCACCGATACCCCTGTATCAATCCCCCAACAAGCTGAGGGCACCGGCACCAATGCCGCGCACCCCTCCCATACCCCTGAAACGAGCAATTTACACTGCTCCCTCAATCTGAAGATGGGCCGACATCAGCCCGTCAATCTGAAGCATGGCTTCACAGCTCATCCAAACCCGAACCCGGCCGGCGTGGCACCCTGCCGAAATACAGAACCCCTAGACCAGTTGGGGAAGCCGACTTCTTGGAGGACAGCCGTCCCTGAATCAGGCGGAATCGAGTGGGAAGGCTCCCATTCAAGACGACCCTGAGGCGGTTCACCTCGGATTCACGGTACGGGACAGAGTAATCGTCTGCATAGAAAACCCAAAAGGCAGCCCAATCACCAATGACAACTTACTGCACTTGTTCCCTGGGCCGCCTGCAGAATGAAAACAGCCGCCGTTTGATGGCTGGCCCAACCCGATGGGGGCGCTCCCACATAACGCTAATGTCCTACAATGTCACCCCAACCTCCTTCGAAAATCTCACCCTTTTAAAGGGGTCTCCGATGACATTGACCGATTTCTGGTGGACTGCGAGCAGTATTTCAAAGTCTATGTTGGGTATATCAGGACTGACATGAACAAAGTCGCATTCGCCACCTCCTATCTGGAAGATAAGGCCAAGACATGATGGATCCTGATTTCCCTGAACTTCCGATCCACCACTAGGGAACATTACCGATATCCCTTGTGGCTGGTCTTTAAATGCATGCTGAACGACAAGTTTATTGACCCTGCCGTTCAAGAAGTGCATAAACAAAAGATCAAAAAATATAAGATGGGAGATAAGGCAGCCACCGATTACTTTGATGAGCTAGAGTGACTCACCAAACTCACAGAAATCAGGGAAGACATTGCAAATGATAGAAGGATGGTAGAGGCCCTCAAGCGGGGAGTTCCCTCCTCATACCTCATGATGATCTCAGCTATGGGCATCAAAATACTGATGCCCATAGGATATGATGAATGGAAGGAAAGGATCGTCGAGATGTACAAGGAACGACAAAGGCAGAAAGTGGAAGCTTCGACCTTGCAAGAGTATGGCAAGAGAAC